TTTCTTTTTTTGTTTGCATCTTCTTTTTTTAGCAGAACGTTATACATATAATAATATCAGTATTACGAGAAATAGTAATGATAATAATAATAGTAATAATAATAAGAATGATAACAGTAGTAATATTTAATGAATATAAATGTGTATGCAAAATTGTGTATTTGCTGGCTTAACCACTGAAAACCCGATGTTCGCCAATGAAACATTGAATTGCAGCAAATGATGGTAGAACTTAAACGAAAACAGAAAAGAAACTTCAAAAAAGAAACGAGAAGATGAAAAGAAGAGGAGATTAGAAGAGAAGAAAATTTAAAAACACTTGAAGCCCCAATAACAGCATCAATATGACGAAGTTGTATAAAGCACTAAGCGATAGCAGTTAACCAGACTGTAATTTGACCATTTTTCTCCGCCTTCTTTCCTTCTTTAAAACTATTAATATTTTTTCCGTACTCTTCCTCTGAAGCTCTTAATAATCTTTTGTCTGCTTTTCTTTTTTTTTTGCTTCTATTTTTCAGTTTGAAGTGGAAAAATCAACGACAATCTGTTTAACATTTAACAAGAAAAACGAAAAGGTAGTGATACCAGCGGCAGCAGTAGCAGCAGCTGCAGCGACAACGTCGACAGTATCAGCTTAGAATGAATACCGCCTCAACTCTATTAGCTGATCTATCCAACACTACAAATAGTGTTTCCATGACTAAATCTGTCATTCTGTTACTTCAACTGAGACAGTCAACAACAGCAATCGTCGTATAAGATTGCCGGAACAAACCAACAAGGAACCGCATTGAAAATGCTTAATATTCAGAAGTTTCATCGTACATCTATCGTCTGCTTCTTCTGCCGCCCTATCACAGCAATAACAAAATTGCTGTTTATTCGACGGGGAAAAAAAAAGACAAAGAACACTGAGTATATTGAATCATAAAAACAGGATGGAGCAAAAATAGAAGTATAACAAAAAAAAGAAGACTAAAAAACCATTCCATTAATGAGTATGCTGCGGGGAGCAAGGGAAGGAGGGTGGTCAGATGGTGACTGGAAAAAAATACCTAATTTAAACCTATTTAATATTTAATACAGCAACAGTATAACAAAAGTGATAAAATTTAACATTCTTCTGATCAGCTAAAAATTTTATTGCTACCTCATTTCCCCTCCTTTTCACTTTGGTACAGGTAAACAAACAAATAAACAAATAAACAAACAAACAAAACTGCAAAAAAAAAAAAAGAAAAAGGAAGAAAGGAAACACACACTCATTCATACAAATTCACTCAGATTCGCACAGAATCACTCAAACACACACCACACACCAACGCATCGACATACACACATTGAAACAGTGACTAAACGAGTAGCATTAAAATAATATTTTATATTTCATTTTCATACAGCATTTAAAAGAAGGGAAACAGCAACAACAAAGAGAAAGACAATAAAAAAAAACATTTTTATAATCAAGAAAATAATCCTTTTTTCTTTTATTCTCGAAAAAAATTTTTTCTTTTTTTTTCCTCTTTTATAACTAATTTCATTATCATAAAGCTTCAAGTACTGGTGATCGTCGAGTTTCAGCAAAATCGCATAAAGGCATACATACACTGAGACTCACGTTTGGCCCTATTTCGTCTTCTTCGTCTTCGAGATTCAGACTTCTGGAACAGTAGTTGCTGTACAAATGCTTTACAGTTTTCAGAAGTTTTTTCAGTTTCTTGGCGCAATTATACTGGGTAAAATGATCATGCTTCTACTGAAGTAATTTGCTTCTTGCTTCTTTACGAATACTTTTACTTTTTTCACTACCTCCTAAAATCTGTTAAATAACTGAAACTTATACATCGGAAGAAATAAACGACTATTCTCGTCTCATCAATAATATTATCGGTCATTTCACTGAAGCTCAAACATATTAACAGTTTAAGTTTAAAAAAAAAAACAAGCAAAGAAAAACCTACATATTTTCCGGTTCTTCGTTCTCCTGATCATCTGCCATAAGGCTCTCGTACTCTTCCAGACAATATCGATCCCAATCACTAAGTTCTTCTTCTCCATCGGTCTACAAAGAGCAACTGATTAAAAAGTATTAGACAACAGTTTATACCTTAATTGTAAAAGTTCAATTCTCATAGCAGCCACTTCTCCTGCCCAAACACACGCGCACACACACACACACAGATCATGGATCATTACCCGCTTATGAATTGTGTGGTGAAAGAACATAACAATATTTAATTCTAATAGATCAAAAAAAAAA